AATAGTAAGGTAACAAGATTGTAGGATAAATAATAATGATTGTTATTTGAACCCTTTTATATTAGAAGATTAAATAAAAGATGAGTCGTCATTTATTTATTTATATCAAATGAAAGGCTTTATGGCAGTTATCAATAGCCTTTTGGTGGACTTCGGGCTTCACAGGGGGGGGGGAATAACAAAGTCACAAAGAGTCGAGAGGGGGAACGGAAGAGGGAATCAAAGATGCAAGAGACTGACAGACACGAAGGTAGAGTAAAAGGCAAAGTTAGTGCCATAGAAATGGTGAATTTTGACATACAGTCGGGTCATGGGAGTTTGAAGTCAAAAGTCAACTGCCGGTTTATAGACTTTTACCGCATGAGTATACGTTGCCCGTGGGGCGCCACGTAGAGGTAAGTCTTTCACGCACCCCAGAAAAATTATCATTATATTGATTAAACGGGTTATTAATCCCCCCCTCCTACTTTTAACTTCCCAGTTTGACACATTTGAAAAGTATTTTATAGAAGTATTTTTACTTTCAACTTTGCGTGTATTCGACTGGTCCACAAGGTTTCAGTACTTCAGTATCAACAAGGGGATCTCTTAATTTATAATTTTATTTACCATATTTGTCGAGCAAAGAAGCTTATAACTCAAATGAGTACAATTAACAGCCTCAAATCAAATTTTAGCTCCACTTTTCTATTGTCTCATTAATTTATAAACATTTTATTAGGAAAGATGAGAGCAAACTCCGAAATTCGTGGGAATAAAGCTTTAATACTTTGGTAATCTAATGTCATGTTCGCGCTCAAAAATCAATAAAATGACTATTTATTACCATTAACATGAATACCAAAGCATGAGGTACTAAAATAACACAAAATAGATACTTATACATACATAATTATCATAAATAATTGTCCTATAAATGAATAAAAGTACGTTATGAAGTGCACTTATAATAAATTAATGGTTTATTTAAAAAGCTCACACATATTAAATTTATCATTGCTGGTTTGAGTGTTCATGGCACAAAAGGCATTTGAGAGAATTTACTCGGAAATCGACTCCGAAAATAAAGGATTTATTACCTTAGACGAATTGAAGGACTTCGCTGACCGCGAAAATAAGGGCGAGAAATTTGTCGAAGTGAGTTTTTTCGTGAAAATTAGAATGTAGTCTTCATTTTGATGGAACATAAAAGAGAATATTCCTTTTTGACTTAAATCCACAAGCCTATATGTGTATCTATTCTCTTAACTTTAAGAAAATTCATTTTAAGTTATTCTATAGGAGTTGCTTTATTAAATATTCCACATCATATTTGTTTGCATTATCAACCAACCTATTATCATTTTCTTCAAACTACTTAATCGTCGTATTTTTGAAATTGCCAAAATTGGGCTAACGTGCTTGATGCCGAATCATTACTTACGCGAGTACACGTTATCAGATAGAGTCATTTTGCAATTTTAACATTGATTTGAATTTTTAAAGGAAAAAGTGACTAATAAACGCATATAAGAATTTAGCATAAAAAATTACATGTTAGTACACACTAATTGCCCTATCTATGTAAAAATAAAAAAATTTTTAGAAGTCGAATTTGATGATAAAATGTCCCAAAAATGGACAAAAGGCCCTATGTTTATATTAAAGTTATAATCAATCATCTATGGTCACTCTTCCTTTGTTGAAATGCAAATATGAATGGAAATTGGGATGGTAGACGAGATTTTATTTAAGCACATTAGACGCAATAGATAAACTTAAAGTAGTCAATTTCACTTTTGCTTGTATAAAAGTTCACGGATTCAAATCATATCGAGTTGGATTTTTCGATCACGAGAGACCATTTTGATTCGTTCACTTTAATATTCTATGCACTTTTATCTAAAGATCATACCCAAGGTCGTTTCCCAAATATACAAGGAGCGATATCTTGTAATAGTGAGATCATTTGGTTGTTCGGTTAGACATGCTTCAAACTGAAAGTTTACAAAGGAGTTTTCTGTCCGCTTATGCGGAAATAGATCAGGATAGACGAGGTTTTATTACCCACGAAGATCTAAACAAGTTCGCAGAAAATGCCGATCTTCCTGAGTCATTCACGGAAGTAATTCACTAAAATATCTAAACTTCTCTTTCGCATTTTATAGCGGTGGATCACGCTTTTTGATCCGGATAAAACGGGGAGCTTTACATACAAGCACTTTTGCAAAGTTATTGGCCTAGATAAAACGAACCCCCAGTAAGTTAAAACATTTCTTACGCATTTACTTTCCACATCAATCTTCCACGAATATTAAATATGCTCTATTAACCATTTATTTGGCATCTCGTTTCAAAAAAATTTTTCACTTTGATCTAGATCCCCAGGTCCAACAGCTATAAAAGAGCTCGTGGATTACAAATGCTCATTAACACCGAAGCAAAAGATGGATGTGTCAAAATTTATTGATAATGAATACAAAGTGGAAGATTCTAGTGGATCCATTCAACAGTTGCTGATTTATATGGACAAACAACACGGACCTCGATGGAGAAGTCGAATTATTTTGGATGAACACAATATTCCTGCTGTCGACGCAGTGGGTAAGCAAGTCTACGCTTTCAGTCCTGACGGGGGTCAGCACAAGTACTTAATTTGGAAGCAGAAGGAAAAGAAATCTGGTGGTTGTTGTGCTTGTTTTGTTTAAACGAATGGCATGTTCTTCCCAGCCTTATGTAATATTTTATTTCAAAGTTACATCTGTCATTTG